CCCCAGGCCTGTATGCCAGGCCTATGCTGAGCCTGGAGGGGATGAGGTGGAGTAGGGGGGTGAGGCAGCTCTCCCACACACTCACCGAGTTGGGCTACGACTGGGTCTGGGGCTCCCGGAAAGCAGCAGATATTCCGACATGGCGGGCGGGGTGGGGGAGGTGCTGTGGAGTGGTGGGGGGCGTCCCAAGGGGGTGGAAGAGGGTCTCACCCATGCTGCGCCTGGGCTGGGACCAGTAATCGGTCCCGCTGTTGCAGGGAAGCAGGAAGCTCTCCCACACACTCACCGGACCTGGGCTAGGACTGGGTCTGCCAAGACCTTATTGAAAAAGAATGGTAAAAGAAGACTTTCCTTGGGTGGGCAGGATAGCTCAGCAGATTAAGTGCCTGTTTAGGTAAGGCAAGGACTGGGACTCAATCCCCGGCACCACATGCCAGGCTGCGCCCCGCCCTGAGTGTGCTGAGCCAGCCACCAAGACTGTATGTGGTGGCACACTCCTGTAATCCCAGCTCTGGGGAGGCTGAAGATATGAGAATCACTAGGAGACCGAGCTGTGTTGTGAGACCCTGTACCAAATACATAAAAAACAAAAAATTAAAAGAAAAAGACTTTCCTTATCTTGTTTTTCAACTTGGAAGAACTGATGTGAGCTTTTCCTCATTCAGTATGATGTAGCCTATGGGTTTGTCATAACAATACTAAACTTTTTTTCTATACATAATTTTTTGAAGATCTAATGGTTAAGATGAAGAGATGTTGAATTTATAACGTACTTTTCCCATGTTAATTAGATGATCAGCAAACTAGAAAATGGTGGAGCCAAATCTGGAATCCAGACACCCAGAAATCAACAACTTGGAAGAGAGTATGAAAAAAAAAAAAAAAGAAGCAGATTTCTGGAAATTGGGAAGGAACTAACGGGAAAAATCAAAAATTATAGAAAAGTTGGAGAAGTGGACAAATCACAGAGAAAAGAGTGAAGCATTCTGAAAATTCATCCTAGATCCTGGTAAGGGGAAGCTGCCTCTCTCTATAGACACCAGATAAGCACCCAAGACCAGAAGCTTCAGGGAGAAATGGTGGACCAGACCAGAGGCACAGACCCCAGAAGAACTCATAAATGTGAACTGCAAAAGTAACATTGGGCTTTGCTCCAAGAGGACTCGTTTTGCATGGCAGACCACAGCTAGAGAATGATTCTAGTGTGGGTGCCTCAGCTATGGCCAGAGAGGGCTCAATCAGGCACCATTTCAGAAAAAGGTTAATTATTTAGGTCTGGGACTCTGAACAACTAATTCACTTCAGAGCCCCCAGTGTAATATTCCCACAGTGACTGGGTGAGAGATGGCCTTGGGAGACAGTCATGGACAGGGAGTAGACGAGACAGAGAACCCCTGAGTTTAAACTCAGGCCAGGAAAGATACAAGCTTCATGCTCTATGGAAAGGGTATTTATGTTGCACTCAGAAATGCCTGAGTCTAAAAGTGCCAGCATTAGGTACCAGACCCCTTTCCCTGCTGCCTAACCCAGCACAAATTCAAGGTCTGAAGGCTTCCCATCTACCAATATGAGCAAGGAGATGCATGACCTTAGAAAGCTGCCACAGGGCTGGCTCAGTAGAATAAGTGCTTCCCTGGCAAGGACAAGGGCCTGAGTTCAATTCCTGGTTCCATCAAAAAAAGAAAGAAAGAAAGAAAGAAAGAAAGAAAGAAAGAAAGAAAGAAAGAAAAAAGAAAGAAAGAAAGAAAGAAAGAAAGAAAGAAAGAAAGAAAGAAAGAAAGAAAGCAAGCTGCCACAGCTGGAACTAAACAGAGGGTCTTCTGTCACAGAAGGGCATCTGAGAAACCCACAGGACATAAAGGTGGGTGGGGGAAACCATAATTTGTTGGGTTCCAAAAATGTGGATCCTGGAAAGAAACCACTCATTTAAAAATACAGAGAAGGGCCGGGGAGATGGCTCAGTGGAATAATAGCTTCCCTGGCAAGCGCAAGGGCCTGAGTTCAATCCCCGGTTCTGCAAATAAATAAATAAATAAATGAAATAAAAATACAGAGGAAAAACATTTCTCAGTGTTTGAACTAATTTTTTTCTCCTTTTCTTCACTGTTTAATTAGGACTGCAATAATGTTCCTTCTTTTTCCTTGATCTTTTTCCTCTTTCTTCTTTTTAATTTTTTCCTGTTAATATTTTCTTTCTTAGTCTCCATATTTGCTTATCTTGTCTCCTTTTTTTTCTCACTTCCTTTTTCTTGCTTGTTATTTTCTGGTACGTTTGTGCAATTCTACAAATAGCCTCTACTCTTTAACAGGTCTCTTTGTCTTACTTTTCTTTCTTTCTTTTTTTTTTAATTTTATTTATTTGTGTGTGTGTGTGTGTGTGTGTGTGTGTGTGGCCAGCTCAGCCCACCAGGGGGCGGGGCTGGCTGGCATGTGGTTCTGGGGGATTGAACCGTGGTCCCTGTGCTTTGCTAAGCTTGTTCTAAGTAGGTGCTTTAGACCACTGAGCCATCTCACCAGCCCTCTTTGTCTTACTCTTCATTCTTCATCTATCATTGTTTAATTTTCCAATGTTCCTCTTCTTCCTAATCCCCTATATCTTTATTAGGATAGCCATGAAGGTTTATTAAGGTTTATTAAGCATTAGACTGTTGCCTCTATGGTATTACTATTGAACTCTTTTTTTTATTAGTTGTCACCTTTAGTAGTAGTATATTCCAATATTTAGCTTGTCTTAATGTTCATACTATAACTATACATGTATTTTCTGTTTTCTTTTTTTGTATTTAGGACAGGGCAGGGTCTACAGGGTCTCATTATGTAGATCAGACTTATAGTGATCTGCCTGTGTTCAGCCTCCCAAGATCTGGGATTACAGGCTGTGCCACCATGCCCAGTCTCAATTGCCATCTCAGTGTACCCCGGGGGCAGGACCAGTATGGCACGCCAGGGGTTAAATCACCAGTTCCTGCATCTGCCTAAGCAGGCACTTTAATCCCTGAGCTATTTGGCCCTATATCTATATTTTATAGTTGAGGGATATACATTATTGCTTCTAATGGTATGTCAATGTTCAATTTGCCTTAAATATTACTGTTGCTGATTTAATTGCTATTGCCAAGGTTGCATAGTTGTTCTTAATATGTATTCTCTGTATGCCAATACTCATATTAACTTTGTGTCATTAACAATGTGCTAATTAAACTTTGGAACATTGAAACTAGCTAAGGAAAATGATTGCACAGAAAATGTTATTCTATTCATTTATCCTCAGCCTACAAATTTGAAGTTGAAGTTGAAAACCAAAGTGCTGCAATCCATTCACAGAGAACAGGGTGCTGGGCCAACAACGCTGCATCCTTCCCTCCCAAATTAACAGAAGAGCTTGGATACTGGAACAGAGCCAAAGGATTCTACTTATACATGGCCTAAGTGCACCACTGAAAAGCAGGCTCTAAATAAAGATCTCTCCATACTAGAGACCAAATCTTTCCACTATAAGTGCCTGCAAGCCTCAGCACAAAGCAAAGCAAACAAAATGCAATGGAAAAACTAGAAGACATGGCAACAAAATGCCTCCCTAAACTCTCAACTCTCCCAGAGCTGATCTATGGGGCATCGAGGGGGCAGAAAAGTAAATGCCATGCAGCCCAACTGTTTGAAGGATAACAAAGGAGATTAAAAACAGATCAAGAAGGTGCTCAACCAGCTGACAGGAAATAAAGTCAATAAATAATGGACTTGAAAAGCAAAATGATCCAAGAACTTACAGGAGACAATGCAGTAAGTCCCCAGCTTATGAACAAGTTCTTAGACTTCAAATTATATTACAAAGCTACAGTGATATAAACAGCAGGGTTACTGCCAAAACCAAAAACAACACATAAGGATCAGTGGAACAGACTACAAGGGAGAGAAACGTCTATAGAAACATTCAGTTATCTGATTTTCTTTCTTTTTTGGGGGGGCTCTTTTTGAAACAGAGTCTGCTACACAGTTGACCTTAAACTCATTATGTAGTCCAGGATGGTCTTGAACCTGCAATAACCCTCCTGCCTCAGCCTCTTGAGTGCTGGGATTACAGGGTGTGCCACCACGCATGGTATGATTTTGGCAAAAGGGCCAAAACTTATGTTAGGGAAAAGATAGCCTCTTTTAGGGCTGGCAAGATAGCTCAGTGGACTAAGTGCACAGGGACTGGGGTTCAACCCCTGCACCACATGCCGTGCCAGCCTTGCCCCTGGGCTCCCTGAGCCAGCGACCAAGTCCTAGGATGGTGGTGTGTGCCTTTAATCCCACTGGGGAGGCTGAAAACAAGAGAATCAATATGAGCTCAAGCTGCATAGTGAGATCCTGCACAAAATACAAAAAAAAAAAAAAAAAAGTTTGTGTTAGCAATATGTGCTAGAATGTTAGTTGGGTATTCTGTACTGGTTTGGGTTACAAGCAGGTTTTTTTTTTCTGTGGTGTGTGTGGAGTTTCTTCAGCTGTGGCAAATATTGGTCGTGTCTGTGGTGGTCTCAATGGTCAAAGTCACAGGACTGGTGAGACTGCCCTTCCAGCAGGACCGCAGCTCCCTTCAGTAAGAGCAGGTTTTCTGGGAGTTGTGTGAGGGCAGTGCCACCCCAGTGAGCCCAGGCAGGTATGAAGCAGTATGGCCAATAGCAGGTTTGGCTTCTGTCAGTGTAATAGGTCCACATAAGGGCTAACAGTCATGACCACGTTTGCAGGGTCTCTGCATGCCAGATTGCTCAAGCAGATCTTCCCAGCTGCTTTTCATGGCTAAGGATGGGTGAGTAGGTCTGGGCTTCTGCTCTTCCTAGCCTCAGTGGGCCTAGATTCTCAGAATAGATTGTTCAGCTGCTCTTCGGAGCCACAGGAGGATGGACAGGGCCCCTGGGTTGCTTCCTGGTGATCTCAGCAGATAAGGCATTTGGGGAAGGGTCATGCTTGAGTGGGTGGGGCTGCCTGTATGCTTCTTCAGGCCTCTTTGGGATGGGCTTCTCAGGGTGGGTGGCCTGGCTGATTCCTGAGACAGAGGTGCATGCAAGGGTAGGTGCCTCTGCTTTGTGTGTGTCGGGGGTGGGGCTGCTGGGCTGTTTCTATGACAGCAGAAGGGTGAGAGACCTGTCCAACTGTGTTCTGGAAACCACAATAAGCCAAGCTGTTGCTAAGCGGCCTGTGACCTGAATGGACAGGGTCTCAAGATGGATCTGAGCTGGGTTGGGGAAGGCATAGCAGGGCCCAGCAACACAACAGAGTGGTGACCTGTCAGCTTGCCACATGCTCAGATCCCAGAGGAGCTGCCACGCTCTTCAGCAGCCCTTGCCTTGGGATCTACGATGTGATCAAGATGGCTGGGTCTTCCTGCTGTCCTCTCCAGCTCAGCAGAGTCTCTCTCAGTTCAGGATTCGTTGCAAGAGGTGGATAGTACTTGGTATATGGTTAGTTCCATCCTCTGGGAGGCCATGGTGAAAATCTCACTCTGAAACATCTCTATCACAGCTCCAACACATGTCAATGTGTTGCTTTAAACAGGTGGCTGGAAAGGCTATTAATTTTCTTTATTTTTTTAAGGCTATCAATTTTCTAGTTTGGGGGCTTTTATGGTCAAGAGAAGCACACTAGGCACCTCAAGCCAATGATCTTGTTCTAGAAAGAATTGGTTTTTGTTATATTCACAGAGTTGTGTGACAATCACCACAGTCAATTCTAGGACAATTTCATCACCTCAAGAGATACCACATGCCTTTCATCACTTACACCTATACTCTCCTCCACCTCCTCTCTAGTCTTAAGCACGCACTCATCTACCTCATCTACCTTGTTCTGCACATTTCATACTGGAATTATACAATATGCAATCTTTTATAACTGGCTTCTTTTACTTAGCATAAGTTTTTAAAGTTTCCCCGGTGCTGTAGCATGTGCCAGAACTTCATGGTAAAGTAATATTCCATCTTGTGGCTAAACCACTTTTTAAATTGTCAGTGGGTAGGCATGTAGATTATTACTGCCTTTTGAGTATAATAAATAATGATGCTACATATA